GCTCTGTTTAAACTGTGCTCTTTCCACACTCCACACCGCCCTGCCCGATGGGCTCTATAAATCGAGTGTATTCGTTTCTGCCATCATTCGTTCATTTTTGTCCGGCGGCAGTCCTGTTCGGTGCCCATCGTTTGGCGGTACTGCTGTAGTAGGGTCGCGTATGTCACGACGTGTTTGTGTGTTTCTCCGCCGTTGGTGTAGAATTTCAAAACAGCGCGGAGCGGATGGAAAGTCTTCGAGCCGCTCGAATGTTCCGGACACGCATGCTTACGTATGAAGTGCGGAAGTCTTCGCGGGGTCTCCGAGCGTGTGTCTTACACAGATCGCAGGTATTGTACAGATGTACAGATGTACTGCAGGTGTTGAGTCGACCCCGCGGCAAAATATTCCTCTCTACTCGATTGGTTCGGCCCTACAGCAGTACAGTGGGGGGCCCTCAATAACGCCGGTATGTACCCAGCGCATCGACCGGCGCTATTCAGAGCGACCGGCGCTATTGGAATAGTGCCTCAAAAGCGCCACAACCGACGTTACTGAGGGCTCAGAAACCCTCAATACCGCCGGTTGTGGCACTATTATATTGAGGTGTTGTGGTCATGTGGCGCAGCGATTGCGCTTTACGGAGCCAACATAATATTCACAAAATGAATAAGAAATGATTGAGTGGTTAAGTGGGCGGACTGCAAAGGATAAATTATGTTCCTGGACTTGGTGCATGGAAAAAGTTACGTAGATTGTTGCAAAGCATCGAACAACAGCAAAGTAAAACAGATGTGGACGACAAACGTGCAACAGCACTCTCTCGCCTTGCCAGCGTTGGCAAGACACGGACTGCAGATGCGGTACATTTCGTTGTCGTATGCGATGCTTCCGCAATTGCCGTGGAGTCGCCCGCCACATCCTCCCTGACAGCGCTGCCCATGAGGGGGTTCTGGCGAAGTGTCGGGGCGACTTTCACAATTCACCATCCGCACATGGCATGGTTCGCCTCTACGTAGAGCTGTAGGGTCTGTAGATGCACGTGTGTACCCCTATTGGTATGTAACCTCCCTTAGGTCAGGTGCGTGGTGTGTGGTTTGTGTGTGTGTATTGTAAAAAAAATAACCGGCGCTATTGCGGGGTGTAGAGGTGCCCAAACCGGCGTTATTGAGGGCTCCGGCTGTGCCCAGCAATTTCACCGGCGCTATACAGCCGGCGTTGTTGAGGGCCCCCCACTGTGCTTGCACGAGGTAGAGACCGGAACTTTTGTGCATGAAGTCTGCCGCATACCTGGTGGCTCATCCGTGCCCCGGGCGGGGGCGCCAGCCTTCGTCGCCGGCCCACGACCCCCCGTCAACAAAGGTAGTGTCATCACCTGGCATGGTACTGCCACCCCGGGACAACCCGACTATTCACAGTGGATACATCGTCGGGAGATTGCAAGTCGGCGATGCATGCATACTGTACAGCAGTAGAGCACCAACCCCTCTCTACCCACGAAAATCGGAACCAGTGCACAACCGTTCGCAGATTATTTCCACAGATGCTGAGCAACCTTTCGCGACGTATTGGCGTACTTGGGTCGTGGCCGGACACAGGGCACGCGGCACGGACCACGGTGCAACGGAGAACGGTAATGGGAGATGTGCGGTGCAATACAGCACAGAGATTCGCCGCTGCTGGCCTGCAGGGCCGAAGGGCCAACGCGTCAACACACGACACCACACATGTTCTACAGCCACCATGCGTACAGGGCGGGCAAGTAGAGGGAAGTCTTGGAGGTACCCTGGACCCTAGCTTACTCGTGAATGCCGCAGTTATCAATCCCTAGCCAACTCTACGCAGAAGCGAGCGAAGGGCAAGACCATGTAGACTACAGCAGTACTTTTGTGTATTTTGTATTTCTCACTGGGACACTGGGACTCACGCGAGTGCCACGCATGGCTGCCCTGTAGTAGCACTAGTTGTCACGCCAAGAGCCATGTTCACCGCGACCTGTTGCAGCTTGTGACCTGTTGTTACCGGTTGGCCAGCGACAAATGCCGGCTGCCCGGGGTCAAGCCAAATTTGGAAGGGGCTCCGTGGGGTTCCAGAACCCGCAGATGTACGGTGGAGGGGGGGCACCGGAGGGGGTCACTTGATGTGTCGGCTCGCGGTGTCGGCTCGTGTGGTTGTTTCAGTTCTCACTCTCTGTCGGTCTCGCTCTCTCTCAACCCTCACCCCCCCTCTCTCTCGCTCCTGTTCCCTCGCTCTCTCGCTGTCTCCTTCTCTGTCACCGCCGCGACAGGTGAGAATAACGAGAGGTGGTTTTCACTTGAGCTGTTGTACAGCAGTACAGCAGTACCCAACCCCGTCGATATCCACTGTGGATTGTAGATGCATGATGCACGAACGATCTTCGCGAGCGCCGCCGCTGATGTGTTCCAAAAACCAACACGGGTTCGGATCGACTAGATCAAAGACTACAGCGTACGTTGTGCAGTTTTGGATCTCCTGCCCTAGTCAAGTTTCTCGCTGCCGTGTAAGTGCTTTGTTTTTTAATTGGTGCACTTTTCTTGTACGAAGTGTGCCGTGAGTCTTTTTCTTTGCGGTTGTTCGGGTGTGGGCATACAGATGTAGTCTGCACTTGTACACCAGGCGGCTGTGCCCTAGCCTGCAGCAGTAGAGCTTGTATTGTAGTCTACGTGTACAGAGTCTACAGTTGTTGTACTGTAGCCCAGAATTCTGTATCGGCTCGCCTCGACTTCGCCAGTTGTCTCCTGCAATATCCACAAGTAGCGTTCACGCGTGCCTGACCTCTTTCTTTCGTTTTCGTGTCGATCTTCGTGCAGCTCTCCTTCACCTTTCTTTGGCGATGGCCAACAGTATACACCCGTGTTGTACCGCCACCTGGGAAGAGAGCCTCGTTTTATGCTAGACGTACTGCAGACATCTACTGTAGTCTATCTGTTACTCTCACGTGGACGTCAGACATCTACTGTAGTCTATGTGTTAACTCTCACGTGGACGTACGCTGCAGACACCGCCCCCTGACGCAACGAATAGCGAGGAAAAGATGATGGAAGATGGATAAGAGAAGCACCCGAGACCACGTGGAGATCGCAGTCGACACCTCCAAGTTCGAGTCGTGGCCACTGTTGAGGCCGAATGAGCTGGCCACAACGCCGACGAACGTGCTGCAAGCGAGCGCTAAGGATCTGGATCTTATGTGTCGACAAGTTGCAGGCAAGAGGGATGCACGGGTGGTTCATACCGTTGAATCATGGCTGTGATCCCGGTGACACAGCGGTAGCAACGACAGCAGTGCCAGCGCGGTCGTGAAAATACGGGATTTGGTTTCTGTTCGAAATGATCCGAGAAGCGCCCCCCGCTGACGCCCCCCGTAGCACCCGTAGACAACAGCAGTAGCCCGTGCGACCTATTCGAGCGCCCGCTACGAAGCAGACGCCGAGAGGACTGATCATGGCCTCCTCTAGGGAAGTACTGTGCCAGGTAGAAGAAGATGGTTCGCCGAATCACCCGCTCCCCATAGAACAAACTGTGATTTTCTAAGAGTGTTTTTAATTCCTGGCAAACGGATGCTGCGTACGGAATGGTGTCGGCGCCTCCTTGGGCAGGGCCGTTCCCATGTTCCCATCGTTTTTGCTGGTCTCGGCAACGCATGTCGAGGGAACCTTAAGTATTCCGACTCTAGTTTAGGGTAGCCTCGTGCGACGTCCACGGGACGAGACCGAATTTTGTAGCTCGCTGTTACAAGTGAGTTACGCAATGAACCTTCAGGTGGAACTGAAGCCGGCAACAACCTTCCGTCGTGAATGCCGAACGGTGACGTGCGGCACTTGCTGTGGTTCCATATTGCTTGCAGGGAGAGACCCTATCACCGACTACGCTCGAAGGCAACACGAACGTACCACGACCATCCTCTTGGAGAGGGCTGCTCAAGCCAGAGTGCAGGCACTACTAGCAGGTGCCACACTTGTAGTGTCCACCCGGAACCGCGTAGTCTAGTTTCAACAATTTATTTCACGTATAGTCCGTTCAATTATTCAAGATTGGTTCCCGAGTGGTATGTAGTCAGGCGACCACACCGACACGAGTTCGGGCAGACCAATGTCATGAATCCAAGCAGCTATGTTTTCCATAGTTTTCCAAGTGGTTTGTGAACTTTTATTGGTGGTGCGGTTTTAGAGGGCCCCGTAATTTATCAAAGGGCGTTTACCACCTTCGCTTTCAAGAGTGTTACCAACATCGTGTTTTCAAGAAAATGGGTTGACTAGTTTCGCGGTGAGGACGACCTGATTACACTATACGCTAGGGTTTCCTGCACCCCGTCGAAAAGTCTGTGCTCTCAATGCTTATCTACTCGTTGGCCTTGTGTCTGTCACTGAACACAGAAGAAGTCCTCTGTGCGGCAGCCTGAATCACCAGTTTCTTCCGCCCAGTGTACTCACGAACAGGAGCGTCTCCGGTCCTATGTACGCAACGCACGATACCGGTCTCGTCGCCGATATTTGCAAGTCCGGTGAAGCCGCCATTTTTATTTTTATGTAGATCGCCGAGGAAACAAGCAACGGGTCAAGGCCCAACCTATTGGCGGATTGTGCCTTCAAGCGTACCGTCAAAGGATCCCCGTACTACTGCTCCAGTGCAACGTTTCCTACATAGGTTGTCCCAAACTACGTCCCAGCCTGCGTTGCGTTTCAGTATCACCTATTTTATTCTGTTCGGTTGTCCGTGCCCTGTCGCATTCAGGGACGGAATTTGTTGGTCGAGATAGTCTATCCAACAATGGAGCACCTGCGACGCGTCCGCCGGAAGCTGAAAAGGCGCCATCACACGATGTCTCGTCGATAAGTCAGACCCTTGCTGAAGAGCACGCTCGGCCACTCGAGGACCGTTCTCCGGCCGGTTGTATGAAGAGCAACCATTCAGACGTCAACCTGGTGGTTCGTTGTAGAGTAGGTCCAACACGTGGTGACAACGTCCATCTTGCTCGGCATTCTTTGAGATCACCCCCAAGGATGAAGTCATCGAGAGGACCATCCATTATTTTCCCTGTTGCTAATGCGACTGCAGTGGTCGGCAAAGACGAAGGCGACGTCGAACCGTCCTTGGTGTCCCAGGGACACCGCACTAGCTGCGGAAAAGTCACTGATGGCTCTCCGGGCCGGCAGTCTATCGGCGGAGATGGGCAAGAGATGGCTTTTGACGGGCAATATTTCCATGCTACAGCACCCAAGACTTGTTCCCCTGCTTCTGCTGGCCGTGCCGTCGCGCAAACCCTTTCGCAGCAAGGGTTGGTTTCATCCGGTTTCGACAATGTCAATGGTGCACTCAAGATTGTTACCGCTGCTGGTGCTGCTGCTCCTGGGGCAAAGGAAATGGGGCAAGATCAGCCCGCAGGGTGGTACGGACCTACTGCTTCTACCGCTACACAATCGTCCCTAGTGTGCCACGGTAACAATCGCGAGAAGCAACCCACATCGTCCTGTATGAATCGTGCGGTGCGAGATAACTGGGGCACGGTGTTCGTGGTAGGAGGCGGCCGACGGAGGCGGAGGACCGTTGTTCGACAACGGTCGGTTGAGGTAGAAGAAACCCCTGCAGCAAGAAGAGCCCAAGTGAGTGCTTGTTCGGCTACTGAGACACTGCCGAACTGTTTAGCAGCGCAATGAGCGCGAATACGGGCTTGCTATGCTTTCGGGATGTGGTTGTTGGTCACAAGACTGGCGAAAAGAAGATGAGCGGTTCGGCACTGGTTTCCCATCCAGGCGGGAATATTTCGATGTGTGATACATGCTCCACAGTTTCCACCTTGGATACTTTCTGTTTCTCTTCGGCTGAACAGGGACAGAAAATGTGCTGATGCACGCAGAAGTGACACACCTCCAACACACCTTATCAAATGACAAAGCTCCCGCCAAATTGTCACCATGAAGGTCGAGAAGGAGAGACAAGAGCGAAGGAAGGCATCCCTGCGCCGCCTGATGGCGAGGAAGGAGCAGCGAGCCTTACAACAGGTGGGTGCAAGCGGCCCGAGACGTATCATTATGTCCTTGCATTTTGAATGCCGTTGCTCGTGAACGCTGCGGGAACGAGTGTGACGGCCAGGCGCCAAAGTAGAAACCCGTAACGTAAGACGGCGATAGAACAGAGGCGTCGTCGGGCCTCGACCGAATGTTCCGAGTAGTGCGAAGCTGTAAGCGTGCCGTGAGTGAGATTGGCAGGATGCTTTCGTGGCGCGATGATTGCCCCAAAACGGACCAAAGAGCTTCTAGTTGATGCCCGCCCATCAGCAGGGTTGTTGAACTTTTTTCAATTCGCCCAGTTCGTCCCGCGCAATACCGGCCGTATTGCATCCCCGTCTCAAACGCCAGCACGCTACACAGACAACATGCGACAACTCGGCCATCTGCAACCCTGATTTGTCAAAATCCGCGTCGAGTCCCCGCAAAACGTTGTCCTGGGCGCGTTACCGACGACCCAACAAACTCAAACTTCCACCTATTATTGCTGTGAGGGTAAGCAGAGGAACTGAGTGTGATTTGTTCGTCTGTGTTTACATCACGCAGAGAGCTCGACGACAGCGAAGAGCTGCTGCCGCCAGCCACGCGGCAGCAACAGCCGCAGCTACTGAAGACACAACATCGGTTGTACCAGCAGAATCGCTAGGAAGCCCCCCGTCGCATGGGGGGAGAGCTACCCACCCTCCTTTGACTCGACCGGAGCAAGGAGCAGGACAGACAGAACGGAAACGAGCAACAGGAATGGAGGCAGGAGGTGTAGGAGTGGTAGGAGGAAAGCAAGCTCCGAGGAGTCCATGGGGTGATAGTGAAATCGTCGGCGGCGACGGCGACAGCGCACTCTTAACTTCTGGCCGGAAACCTGTTCAACGTCATGAATATCGACACCATCCGGTCGAGGATGGCAATATCAGCTTTGACGAACGCCGCACCCACTTGGGTGCCGTAGCGACAAGCGTAGCGATGGCCGAGAACAATATGGATAATACCACCAGTGGCAGTTCGAGCGAATCTGTGAGTGGTGGAGATTCTAGCGACGACGACCACCTCTCCGTTGACCAAGTAGAGGCCTTGGAGGAGGAGGAGGAAGAGGACGAGGACAGAGAGGACGAGGAGGAGGGGCACACAACACCGACAGGTATCGCCGGTGGTATCAGCAAGAGTACAAGCCGCCAGGCGGTCGGCAGGCTGGAAAGTTATCGGGCCCGAGATGCTATCAAACAGCTGGGGCTGCCACGGGAACACCAAGCCCGTGGAGACGATCACGAAACCTCCGGCAGCAGCGTACATGGGGTGCCACTCGAGTGTTGCGGTGGCTGTCGGAGTCCCCTTCGACTTGCGGCAGGGCCCGAAGTAGATGCTGTCGAAGCGAAAGCAACACGAAACAGAGGCGATGCGAGTGATGTACCCGATAACGCCACGGAAAGAAGACCTGTGCATGGCAACGGCATCGGCGAGGCCGACTCTACCCCTGAGCCTGAAGACGGTGACTATCATGGTCCTTCATTGGCTAATCCTGGGCCCTCAACATTACCCAAACCATTCTTTCGTGAGAATGTCGTCGATCAGCAAAGCAAGATGGCCATAGCGTTAAACAACCGCCGCGGAGAAGGAAAAAGCCCTCCAAAGCACCCGAACGCGGAGGCGGCCATCCCGGTACCCTTGTTTTCGCTCGAAAGTGGTATGAGTGTAGACGCCGATCCCGTGATGAATGACGACAATATGGTAGACATGGACACGGAAAAGGCAGGGACGATGGGTCCTGGACCCGATGAATGGGAGGAAGTGGGTGGCCAACGGTATGGTCCAATAGACGACGATTGTGATTCTGACAACACCGAAGGTTCCGGTGCTACACTCGAGCTACAGGGTCCTCTACACGTCCAACCTCTTGCCGAAACCCGTCAGGCGGAGCATAGATCTGCTATAAGAAGCACAAGCTGCGGGGCTCTTGGCACGGTAACGCCACAGCTGCCCAACTGCGATGCTGATGAAACAAAGCAAGGACGAAACCCCGGGTTGATTGCTTCGGCAAACGGCATTGTTTCCGTTTCTGATGTTGATCTCGCCGGACCGAGAAGGCCGACTGGACTGTCCCCCTCTGCACCCACGTCGGCTTCCCCTCGATTATCGGTGCCATTGCTTTCGATGGATCTCTGCAGTCCTTCCGATGGCGGGACAGGGAATGGTTGTGCAGTTGTTGGTGTCGAGCCCTTACTACCAGAACCGCCGGCACCGAGAATGTACCAACCCGAAGGTCGCAACCAGGCAGCCGCCGGTCGCAAGGAGGGTACCGGCGACAATTGGAAAGCGCCCATCAACTCGAAATCGCAGGAGTGTCGCGATGTGTCGAAACAATCGTACAGCGCTGGCGACGCCATCGTAGACAACACATCCGCGAGATTTACGGTTGAGCCGCCCGATGCGTTTACGGCTGTTCCTCAAGGGCGTCGTCCACGAAGAAGTGGATCGTTGACAACACCGCCGGTGATGGGCACCGGTGATGATGGTTCGAAAGCGACGTGTCTTCAAGCTGAAGTTCCCGAAACCCCCGGTGGTGCAGCGGGCGGTGATGTTGCCGGTCACTTCGAACCGGTGGAGAAAGTACCCAGCAGCAATACGTTGGCAACGTACACGGATTGCTTTCCACGTTTTGCGGCCATCTTGTCGGCGCACCACAATGGACGGGCACTCACAAGGTATGACAACTTTACTGTTTTAACACATCTGACAGTACCTCATCCTGGCGCACAAGTCCACTCTTTCCTTGCCGACCATACTCCCAGGTACTCTGTTCACCATCTCTTGCTGCAAGCAGTGCTTGTGTGCTTCTTGTAATCTGATGCTTGCATTTGATTACTTGGTACCAGTCTTTGATCTCAAACTACTGACACTACTTCCGGATTTTGAAGGATAAATGCCTCCCTCGATCTGACCTATGTTGGCAGCACTCGCACAGGTTGCTCTGTTATAGTCGAATACTCCGCAAGCTCGCTGCTGTCGCTTTCTCCAACCGTCGCGTCAACCCGCACTCCGTTAACCGAGAAATTGACCCATCCCGGCATCCCGGGCATGAACACCAACCTAACTGCACCTGTGTGACGCGGAACTTTCAGCACAGGTGATCCCCACAGACCAAGGCCATGCTTCCTTTGCCGAAATCGCTGCATTCCCTTGGCAGGCAAGCGGACTGCCGTAGCCTACCACTGACGTCTAAGATCTTGTCCAGGGGAAGGGCGGGTGCCGGTGGGTCGGCGGCTAATCGAAGAGGGATAAAGGGGCTAGGACTTACGGGAGCGGAGGAGGAAGCATGCTTCCACTGGCAGTGGAAGCTCTACGCCATACACGTGCGGGTCATCAAGGTGAGATTCGCTGCTGCCTACGATGGATGGAAGTGAGTCATAAATTCTTCCGGTTTGTTTGCGAGAAGTCTACAATCGCACCGTACCCTGCATGCTTTGTACAGGATGTTTCACCCACCTTGTTGACAACCAAGTACTTTGTTGTCTGCACACAGTCGCCTGTCGGCGACCTCTTGTCATGGAAATGACCAAGGTGTTCTCTAACCTCCACAGGACTACGCAGCGGTATTTTCCTATGGAGACGGATGGTCAGGAAACGGCACATCAGATGACTCCAACTCCCTTGTCTACAGGTTCGACCGACTCCGTCGTATGAGGATGACCTTCATGTGACGCGTTAAGTCTGAAAGCAGCCCATGGTAGAGAAAAATGTGTCCACTATGTTCTTCAAATAGTCATTTTGATATTAATCAAATCAATTCCTCGCCTCACTGTCAAAATGCTTGCTGGTAAGTGGTGACTCGTCGGCGCTTCACTACCGAGTCAATTCGAAGGCCAGGCCGGAGGTGTACAACATCGTCACGGACGTCCTGAACAACAGGTAGGCGAGCGACTAGTTGTAGAGCTTGTCTTCAAGATTGCCCAGAATATTCTGAGATCTCGGGGACTCTAGATGTCCAGTATGAAGTGTGAACCATAGCAGTGGCGCCATCAGAAATGATAGCGTCGAGACGACGAGGATGATCACCGTCTCAGCCTATTTAGTACAGGGAAGAAAATTCAACGATTACTGCGAATCGTGATATCCGATTCCGTCCTCGGCCCTTGCCAGTTTTGATAATGCTGTGCTTAATTCACAACGAATACGCGCAATGTATATGATACATACACTTCAACATATTTGAATGGCGAAAGGGACCAACACTAGAGTTTAGATTGTGCGAGTCTCTGTCACGAGACAACATGCACACACGCGTGAATGTGCTACCCTCAGGTGCCAGCAATGGGAAGAATTGCCGACGGGGTTGGGTCTGAAAACGACATGGAATCTCCTCTGGACATGGTCAAAGCCCCACATTCAGTACAGCAGCCTATTGACGTGGCAAAAGGTAATCACTGTTCTGTCGGTTCGCAGTATGAGGGCACACAACAGATGGAAAATACCCCAGACCGTCGCTGAACAAGAGTAAGAACGTCTCTCTCATACTTTCCCTTTCTTTCCCCGACGTGTGGCTGCTTTTCACGACGACACACTGGAGCGGGCGTATGCGACCTAGGTGCCTCTGTACAGACGTAGCCTCCATGGGCTCGACGACGTTTTTGCCTTATCCGTTGTCGCGTAACCTTCTGGTTCTTTCACCTCTGTTTGGTGTTGCAGAGTGTTCCGGGCGACCAGCCGACACTACGCACCCGATTTCATCCTGCTTTGGTTTTGGTTTTGGTTTTGGTGTGGTTTCGGTTGGCTCGGTCTTATTCCTCTCCTGCTGTTTCGCCGCTGTTCGGTGGTGGTATCGCAAAGGTGAACCATTTTCCCAACTCGCGGGAGCTGACAAGAAAAGACCTCCTAAACAAGCACGTGTCCAGGTAAATACACCAACCGATTAGGCGACAGCAGTGACACCGCCCCCACGGCGAAGACTACTCGATGAGGCAGCGCAATGTAAAACGGAAAACATGTTGAATCTATAGCTTGGACGCTGTCGATTTTGTTCGTCGTGCCTATAACATGCCCCAAATGATTCTCCCGATTGGACTAAGAGTCACTGATGTTATCACGGTCAAGCGCGACACGTTGCCCTGTATGGTCAAAAGCCGGCGAAAGGTAAAAAGGACGGCCCCTCTGTCGGTTGGCTGTAAATACGGGGTGCTGTTCACGTGGTCGCCATTTGTGCAGGATCATCTACTTGCACTCGAAAAACCCTCGCCTTGTGTTCGGGGAGCGGCTAGCACTGCGGATTTGTTTGAACGGTCACAAGCTCGCACCTGGATGATATCCATATTTGACGGTGTTGCTTTCCTCCACGGAATTTTTCAGGTTCATGGCCCCCGGCGGACGCCTTGCCAAGGAGTTCCACATCATGCCTCAGACGTTCGTCCTGCCTCACGAGTTTACGCTCTTCGTCTCAGCCTTTACGTCTTCGTCAGGTATTGCGTGAGATAAGAACCCTCAATCCAAACTGCCGTCGCTTCAAAGATGTGAGTGGCGGCTGACAACCTCTTCAAACCGCGTCCGTCGAACGCTTGCCAACAAAAGCGCGACGGTCTGCGCAGATAAACGGGGCAACGCGCGCGTAGTCGGCATGGGCTGGCCAGTGCTCGAATCAAGCAATGCAATCCAGTCGCACCACACCATGTATTGTTCTTCCGAAGTTCCGACTTTACTTTTGCACTACACCCTCCCAGGGCGTTCACGACAAGAGCCGCGGAAAGCGTCAACAAGACGGGGGGGTGGAGGAATCGATGGCGTAGATTCCAGCGAAGAGGAAGAAACATGGACGAAATCTTACGGGACAGGCGATTCCAGAATAAGAGTTGGTAAGCTTCTTTCGTAGTGAAAACGCTCCTTGCGGGCAACGAGGGGTGGTGGTTGTGCGACTGATTGTACTCGCAGGGATCGTTCCGATCCCGAGTCATGGCAGCGGTGGGAGTTTCACCTTTGACTACCGGTCACCCAGGAGGTTTTGCTTGGTAGCAGGGGACACGATGAGGCGGGAGCTATGTACAGCTCCAGCCAACATCGACACTTGTGTACACATGTTCAGCAAAGATGTTGGTAGACCTCAAGGATAAGCTTACTGTAGGTCCACTTGACGTACTTCTTTACTCTCTTCCTCTTGAAAAAACGGTAAGTAGAAGCGAGATTAAACGCCGTGGACCCAACACCTTCAGCGATTGTACCGGAGTTGAAAAATCCCAGGTCGTTCTTCGCCGAGTGTCAAGAGGACTCGGGCAGCACCATGACTATTCGTTCACAACTTACCATACATGAGATGAAGCAAAGATAAGCACGAAACTACTGGTAGTTCATTTCCCGATACCATACAATGATCAACGAAGCATAGCTAGGAATGGCATGACATTTTTGCACCAATCACGGAGTCTCGGAGATATCGTCGAAGTTGAACTGCCACAGTGCAGAGAACGGACACGACGACATGTTCGTGTGTCACTCCCATTTGTTCTGGCCCTCGACATCTCAACCCGTCTGTGCGTCGTTCTACTAGCCAGCCGGGGTCACTGGGTGCAGACAACACTACTGCAGCTTGCTTTGCTTTGGTCCATCTTCCTTTCGTGGTGCTTGCCGTGATTGTTATCGCGGAAAGGACTCAGCCCTTCCTTTCCCTCCTCAATCACGAAGTAGAGTTTGCGTCAGCACGAATTTATCGTCTTCCACGGTTGTTTTTCGGTATAGTATCCAAAGTCTTAAAAAGGCGCGGAGCTTGAAACTCGCGTTGTATGGGACTATAGATGATGCGTCAACGAATTGTACCGCGGGAACTATGCATGAGAGACTGGTGGTGGTTCCGGAGACCAGTTGAGATAGAGAGATCAAGAAGAAATATGTGTTGGGAATGGTCCAGGTGGGGCTAAACCACCCTTCGACCAGATGCAACAGATGTAGAATGACCTCTGCGTGAAAGTCGCTCGCTGCAAAGCATGATCCTCGTACATCAAACTATTGGATGCTTCACGCGAATGCCAAGGTATGTTCACTTTTCCTCAAAGCACCGGGGTTTGCATACTGTAGATCTGCTTTGATTTCTGCGATCTTGGGCATAAAGCCCCTTTGTCAAGCCCACTTAGACCTGGCCCGCACTTAGGACACAACTTTGTTTCGTCGGGACCATGACGTGTGCGTCCGAACGTGCTCGGAATCTCCTTGGGGAGAAACACTTGCCGTGGTACTTTGGATGACAGAAACCACCGTGTGATGAGTACCGCAGTAAAACACATCACCTCCCACCAGGCACACGGGAAAACCTGTGGATCATGAAGCCGGTTGGGATGTCACGAGGGAGAGGGATACGGCTCATCGATGACATCAAGGACATCTGCTACGCGGACAAGGTTAGGCGAATGCGCTGTTGTTGTCAGTGACTGGTAGTTGTTGTGGTTTGTTCTCTTTTGTCGTTGCCACTGTTGCCTGATGATTTTCTACTGGGTTTCTTTGACAAGCCAATATTGTTTCGCGGCAACCTCCCACGTACGTAAGCATCGCTCAACAACGTGCTGCCTGTGCAATCATTAGCGTATGTGGCGGTAGCCTGCGCATGGGGATCAGTGTCGCTCCGAGCACATTGAGTTCGCAACCGGATTTTGTCGAAAGCCATATCGTTCGGCTTCACTGCAACACCCTGCTGCAGGTGGTGTTGCAAAGGTACATCGGGAACCCTTTGCTGCTGGACGGCTACAAGTTTGACCTCAGACTCTACGTTCTTGTCACCTCATTCAACAAGTGAGAGGTTCAAGCATGGAGACAGGCGTATTCATGGAGCATGCGTCTATCGACGTTTTCCCGTGAAAGGCATATCGGTCGAAGTCCTTAGCGTTGCTGGAGACAGAGCACCAATACAACTTCTGCAGGCTGCAAAAAACGTTCTGAGTTTGTTGCGTACCCTTTCGAGGGACCATCTTTTGGTCTGTGAAGTGTATTTCCCGGTCGATTTTGGTTGTGTGCATGAAGGCCTAGTTTCGTAGTGCGGAGGAAGCAATACTTTTGCTGTGCGGCAGAACTGTGTGTGCCCTTATTCACACCGTCACATACTCATTCGAGCGCGCAGATTGGAGGCTTTCATCTATAAGGAGGGTTTTGCTCGGTTAAGCACCCACCGGTACGAGAAGGGTGCCATCGACAACCGCTTCATACATCTCACCAACAGCAGGTGACTGGTTGACGGCTACTTCGCTGGCTTTCCGAATCCGTTCGTCGTGACGCCCTCCTCAGAAGCAACGGTCGATACTCGAATTTATGTCCTGTCAACAACGATATACATCTGAAATTTACCTCTCCCGGAAGCTGGACGTGTTCTGCCTGCGGGACAGGGACCGAAATGTATCCCAGGTACAACACTGCAGTGCGTAGGATAGGTACCATCCTTGGTTGTCGCCCAACGCGCAACATTGCACGCAAAACGAGTCGCAACTGTGAACTGATGGTGCAAAGGTGATTAGCATGCTTCTTCTCGAGCATGGAAGGTCAAAGGCAAGTCATCTCGTCTCTTAGCGCTATCTCGGTGCGCGCTACAACGCAGAGCCAGAGCTCCCTGCAGCATGTTATACGTACATAGAAAGAACACACATAATTCAAAACCTTTCGCAGAGAGAAGCGTAGCCTTAACCTCGCGGATCCAACCCCCCCTCTCTTTGTTGTACGTCCCCACGCACTATCGCGCCCAGCATCCAACGCCTGAACGAGGCAGGAGCTGCGCGAGACAGCCCTCTCAACCAGGCCAAGACCTCGGAAGCCGGTGGCACGAAGACGACTCTTTCTTACCTCTGGAGAAGGCTGGCCGCCTCGGGAGTAGACGTCGGCGCGCTGTGGGCCGAGATCTGTTCCGTGGTAGTTAAAAGCCTGGTCTGTGTGGAAAGCTCCATACCGAACCAACCAAACAGGCAAGCTGGCTCTCGAGTTGGTTCTTGAGGTTTCGACATCACCACCCCACCCTGTTTCGAAGTAGCATTATCTCAGATATTTTCTGCCCATCTTCCTGAACCGCCAGGTATAGTACGAGGAGGTAAAACTCAGAGCAAGCCTACAATAAGGCTGTCGTGTGTGTGGTGTCCGTTCCACACGCTATCTCGAGGTCATAGTCTTACAGTCGTAGGGTTTTCGCTGTACGATGTAAGGTTGTCCGGATGTGAAGGCAACACAGACAGCATATTTCACCTACGGTATTGGAAGCCTGCTTGCAAGTCGGAGGGCACGTATTGTCTAAGGTTGACATGATCTCCCACATGATACGAGGACGATACATCTCATGGCGCTCATGTTTTCGCTTTGTTTACGCCTTTCAACCGCATCGTTTCCCATGCTGCAACCCATCGGCTCTTGCTATCAACCCTCTACCGATTACCCCTCGCAATTCTTGTTCCCTTTCGAAACGGCCGGTTTTCTGCGAATCGGTGACCAGTTTCGAGCTTTTCGGGTACGATGTTCTCATCGACGACAGGTGAAAAGAGTTGGTTGTGGATGTTGAAGTCCGTTCAAAGTTTATGTTTTCCAGGGCTTCGCAACCGAGATGGCCTTGGCAGCTACCGTGTGTGGTGCCCTGTGCGGTTAACCAGGCCATATGCCATCAACTTCATTCTGGCTGCTGACATTCACCGAAGCAAGACACCGTTTTGTTACAGGCCTCTTTGCTTTTCCGAAATGTTGTGGGAAAATGTTCGCTCTCGTCGCCGCCTGTTGTGGTAGGGTTTGAGTAAGATTGGGTATACCGTCCTTGTGGCAAAGTTATGCTTGAGGCACGGTTGTATTGTTCTGTGGAGAGGAATATTGTTTGAGCTCATCACCGTGTTGGAATTACTTAGTCTACAGTTCTGGCTACGGCAACAGAGCCACGAATCTGACCCCCCCAACACCGTGCAAACTGACAATTGTTTTTGCGAGTTGTGCAGGTTCGTCCAGATCTCTTGTCTGTCGCATAACCCTTCACGTCCCACGCTCTTTCTAGAAACGTGTGTTTAACAGTTTGGTATTGATAGATGTTGATTCGTTGGAGTCCCATCAATTTGCACATTGGCCCAAACGAAATTGATGTGCTTAGATCCAAAATTCGGCGGCCCTTTGTTGCCGTTGCAGGCTAAGACCTTGGCTGATCGAGGTCAACGCGTCTCCGTCAATGGCGCGCGATACGCACGTTGATCGCCAGGTATCCTTGAAGTAGAGAGCACGTACTGCAGTACACATATCATGTTGATCGTGCTGTGTTCAGCTTATCCTGTAGTCGAATATGGACACGTAGTGTACATGGTAGGTCCTTCTCGACGAAAATCCACGGTAAGCGTTCGAAGGACGCTCGGTGTTGTGTAAGGCGCTGCTTGGTTGCATTTTTTATCCGCGAGGAACGCGGCGACCGTTGAAAGCGAAGGGCATGGTGGGGTTCAACACCATTCGCGCCACGAAACCTTACTGCATAACAAGCTCGGAGAAAATATTGTTTGCGGGTATGGTAACGCAGGCTGACATACCGGGAGCCGCATATAGTCTATGCACGACGCAGCAGTACGGATAGCTACCCTAGGTAACGTTGCTCGTCATTGTGACTTCTTTGTTTTCAGGTCAAGGAGGCACTGATCTTCGAGACGGTCCACCTCATCGACCCCCTTCCCTTCGACAGGTAAACATGTGCAGCGCAAACTGGAGATTTGGACGAACACACGAGGAGGGCATACTGAGATAGCACTCTTGCAGGGTCCTGTTCTATCTGCATCTTCATGGTAGTTATCAGGCTTCTACATTCACAGCCGTTTATCCGCGTCTTGAACGATGATTTCGTCTCAAAAAAATCAGGCAGAAGCTGGTGGACATCCTGGGTAGGCGCCTGAAGGAAACCGAACACTCGAAGACGCGGGCATTTAAGCAGCGACACTACCCTCACCATCATCAGCAAGCTTTCGACACGACGGAGGTGCAAGGGGATGCACGGGCAGGGGACAACGTTTACCCATCCCCTTCCGCGAAGGCGTCGGCGAGTAGGGAGCATCAGCGCCCACGGCGTACCAGGGTAAGAACGTTCCTCAGAATGAATCAAGACAGTCTTAACCATTTTCAAGATTTGTTTGACTTCTTAGTGAAAGCGGCGTCGGTGAGGTTCCACTTCTGGGATCGTTGACCTGTAGCGTTGATTGTGAATCCAAACTATTCAACAGCAACAACAGGGGTACGAGCGTACCGCTGGTTGAGCTTGAGTTTGCGTGGGTGGCAAGGTCGTACGACGAGCCTGAATTAACCGGGACCACGAGGAAATGCGCGATTTCTGCATTTTGGCATGACCATCGGGTGCGTTGATTCTGAAAGGAAACCTTCGTTGGCAAGTTGCTTAGTACCACGAGATATCCCACGATGAAGCATGGTGCAACTTCCGTTTCGCGACCTGAAGGATCGGGTCACCACATACCCTACAGCTGTAGCCTTTATAGTCACTTTGGCGGTGGAAGGATCTGGTATTCTTTTAGTTTTCGCCCAAAGTCGGTGGATATTATCCCTGAATATTGCTGAATCGAGTATAGAAACAAACGCCGGTAGGTGTGCACGTGCGTCTGAGGGAACCACATCACGCAACCAATACCAGCACTGGAAGGCACGAAGAAATGCCATGGGGCGATCACCCAACCCTTCTGGCGTGTAAAACGCAACGCAGGGGGAAAGGCGGACACACACCTAATCGTTTGACAAGATTTTATATATGTGATCCCCGGCTGGTGTGACAAACCTATACCGAACGGTGTAGACTGGCGCCCGGTATGGGTAGGACGAAAACGATAACACACGGGATGACCAAACCAGGCGCACATGACCACGGCGAAAACCGACCGCGAGGAGGTTTTCATCGCTTCCAAGAACGTCTCCAACGGCATATAGCATTGGGCGAGCCTAGCAAAGTTGGTCTCCCCGCCATCCGGGTAGCAGCGGTCTCCAATCTGTATTTTTCGTGACGAAAACCGAGTTGGATGCGTCTTGAACCAAAACCGATGATTTTTTCCATGTCCATGTTTCGCGGGAAAAAGGAAAGAGGAGGCGTGACCTGTGTCGACACCCAAACGGTGTCGACACCCAAACGCTCGACTCAAAACATCGACTACTGTCCATCGCCCCTACCCTTGCTCTTCGTGTGCTGTGTCTGTGTGCAACAGGGGGAAGCAGACCTGGAGAGCGACCTCGATCAAATCCTCCGCGGCAGAAGGCCCCGCCAAGTCGGGGAGTTGCCTGCCCGAATGGGAAATTTCGTGAGGCTCTGCCCCGGGACTGCCGCTCACCGGCGCGCCCGACGCTTGAGGAGGAAGGTCATCCGGCCACAGCCGGGAGATGATGACGACCCGACCGGTAGTAAACGGTAGCTTCTTGCTGCGTGATGATGACTTGTACCGCCCTTGTTGAAAACCGTTTTACCATTTCAGCGGGATGCCCGCCAACATAACCTCCTCGATGGACGCGGAACGAACGCAACTATTTCACTTCGATCCTACCATGAACAGAGATGCCGATGGCTACCGATGGCTTCGTAGAAGGCCCGCCGTCTTCTTTGCCCTCCCGGATGATGATCTTCACACACCAGGTTCCCTCTAAATTTTGATGACGAGAGAACTTTTGAATCGCTCGAGCGCAAGGGAAACCCTTGGACCATCACAGCAGTTCGATCTTGTCGTCGATGGCGCTGCAACGATACCTACGTAGAGCCCCATCATCGTCGTGGTCCACCTTCATGACGCTTTTCCCCTTGTTTCTTCGACGCACGTTTCCCACCCATGCTCCCGATCCACCCTCCCCGCCGACCACGACGTCGAAACCGTCACTTTCGCTGTCACTTGACGAATCACGCTGATTTCGTTGCGAGCTCTCGATTCCTGAGACGGGTTGGAAGAGTTTGAAAGGTCGATTCTGTTTCTTTCGTGGCACATCCTGGGCATGCCGAAAGGCAGGAGACACGCACCTGATTGTGGAGCTCTGCTTCACCCACACCGAAATTTGAAATTTCATGTTGAATCAAACACTTCGAGCCCAGGAAAATTGACACAGTAGCCAAAGCATCTCTTTCACCAAGCTACCTGGCGTTGTTGGTATGTTCGTCTTGGACTCAAAGGCCAACAGAGCGTAACGCAAGGGGACCATAAGTTGGTCCTGACAAGTACCGCCTCATCCTCACCTGCCCCAGCTTGGGTGAGGTTACTTGCATAAAACAAGAGCATCAGATGACCTCAACAGCACCAGTGACCTATGCAAGGCACGAGCTATGCTTGGGACTCTCGACCTACTAACACTTGCGGTTGCTGGCGCTGCTGGGTGCGGAGATTGGGCCCTCTTGGCTACTCCTTCTCTGTCACCTCTTGGTATTGGGCGAGCGTCGGTGTGCTGGACTTGCCCCATTTTGTTGTCATTTTCGCTACCACGTGAACCTGGACGTTGCATGTGTTACAATGGCGTCCGGTGGCGGGGGGCAGGTCTAGTATCGTTATCAACCCTTGCACAGGCAGGAAAGCCGGTCACGTTTACCAAGGACAAGAAACGCGGACCTAGCCGTGATGAACGTGGAGAGACAGGCTGTCGATATTACCCGCTCCCGTCATCTTCTGGTGAATCGCGATGCCGGTCATCGTCTTGCCACTCGCGGGACTACATGCTCGGCCGTGCCCCCAAGAACACACGATGTTTTAAGGTAATACGGCCGGAAGAGTAAACACGACCGCCGCTCACAACCCACAATAATTTGGAACGCTGAGTCACAATCGCACCAGTTCTTGCTCTTGGGGGATACAACCTGGTTCTAGGATAGACTTCCGCATCTACCACATGGTTTTCCGTTCCATGTTTATCTTTGCGCTCCTCATTTCCGAGCATGTGCTATTTTGGACCGACCTTCGGGAAGCTCTCGAGCAGCAATGTCATCGTCATCAAGGCCTGGATCTGTCCAAGCCCCCCTGTGGTGCTCCAGGCCTCTCTCCGCCGTGATGACGCACAAGTCGATGTTGCTTCCGCTGCCCAAGTCGTTGTCTATTCCCGCCGCGATGCCTTCTAGTACGAGCTCCTTGGCTTCTTGTTCTGTCAGGTTTTCTCGGTAACCCCGCTAAAAAGAGGAACGGAGAATAAAAACAACATATTAGCTCCCCATGTCGATACTCCGAAATTGCTCCCTTATCGTGCTGAATGGGTGGTCTCGTCCTAGAGCGCAGTCTGAAGGTACACCTCAGTCCGCTTTCCTCCTCCAGACTGCGAACCCGTGGATCACATGTGTAAAGGACTACTGTACCTATCAGTCGTCGTCTGCTCGCGCAAGACTTCATCCGGCATATTTGACTTCTAAGGTGTTGACCACGACTTGTCAGACCAGCGCATGTAGAAATGTGGTCGTACCTCGGTAGCCATGTACCTTCCAAACAAGAGGTGTATACTTCTAGGCACCTTGAGCGTGCCGCGTACGGTGCTGCGTGAGCAGTGCACTTCAGCACAATACCACGTATGCCATTTTCCCAATACGGATGCCTAAGCTGAAAACTGCATCATCCTTGTCTGCCGGTGTTCCAGCACTCAACAAGTCTTCCCGCCTACGGTAGAGCAGAACTTGACGTGCCGTCAACAGCGCCACCAGTTCGTTGAGCTGGCTCTCATTCTCTGCATGCTTTGATACGGAGAGGTTGTTTCGTTTGCAACCTCGACGGCGCGTGTCTACGTTTGTCTTGTCATCAGTTGAACAATTTCAGAAAAACGTGGTACTGCATAGATGTCCCGAGAAAAGGATTGGGCATGGTTCCCCCCAACAGCGGGTGCGGCAGCAATAGCAACAACAACAATAGCAACAACTGCGCCGTCAGCAATAACAGATCACCTCCAGAACGCTCAACGCTGCCAGGCTCCCGCTACCCATGGCCGTAAATTCCACCTCGGCGAGGCTTCCTCCCTCGTGGATCTGTGATGGCCACCACGCAGAAAGGCCGACCAACACCAAGTTGACGAAAACGGGAACATGTGCCGGTGAGACACAAGGAAGGGCGACCGCCAGCTATAATAGGAATATTCTTCCGCGTACACGTTTTTCGCGATGGCGAAACTACGAAGGCCTCCCTGACAACAAACTTGCGGCGAAGATATATTTTCGGTTGGAGTATCGAATTTCAGCTTGGAATGCGCCGGCGCCCAGCCGTCGTGAGGCAAGCGATTTCCGTGCTGGTTCCATCTAAACAACAGAGGTTCCTGGTCGGGAAGAACGCAATTTCGACAGCTGTACTGTTCAACATCTCCATGAAAATGAATATGCACAACAGACTCATTCGATCGAAAAAATATCCGCATAACAACCCTGATGCTAATGTACAGAGTTTACGTCAATGAAAAATGCTTCCAGGGGCAGACACAACCGAATATCAACTCGACACTGAGACCCCACGCAGAAAAAGAAAAATATATACGTGCCTGGTAGATATGCTCGCCGATAACGTCCACTCCTCCTAAAACGAGAGCTGCGGAAACGGTCCCCTGGTACCGGAACAGGTGCCGTTTCAGCAACAACGCCGCCGCGCCGACCCGGAGATGCTTGCGCTGCACCTCATCCAGCCCGCTGTCGCAGCTAGCCAAGGCCCTCTCCTCGTCCGCTCGAGATTGGCATTGGAGGAGAGGCGACCTGCTGGAGGGCAGGCAGGCTTGCATCTCTCGGGCCATCCGCAACAGCGCGAGGCGTGCCCCCTGCGAGATGAATGATGCGGCCCAGCATAAGAAAAGCCTTTCAATGACGGGGTGTACCACCGAGTAGCGAGCAGCTATCAATGTGCGTTTTCTCTTGGGCGTGCAGCCCGCGGAGGAAACAACAACAACAGGACTTCGCCGGCCATGCTGTACCGGGGGAGCCGACTCGGTATTTAGTAGCACCAGCTGTGGCAGCAGCATCGAACGACAGCACAACAACAGCAAGGGCAGCAGCAGCAGCAGCAACCACCGACTTATCGAAATACCTCTGTTATCCTGACCGCGTCCGCGCTGGTCCCAGCCCCGCAGCAGGCAATGTTGGAAGCGAGGATGTGAATCTTGTCGCAGTTGCGGTCGCACACCGTTTTCCCGCCCGTGGCTCGAGTATCCGCTCCTAACACCACACCTCCCTGAGTTGCCGAAAGAAAATAGTAGGTTGGATGCCTTCCGTAAGGTGGGAGCCGATAAGCATTCCCCGGCGTCATGCGCTGATGGTCGAAACGTACGCTGCAGTCTCTTCGCATGCGGCGTGTCTACACCCGCGTACTCCAGGGTGCCAGACAAGTGGGCGGGGCGGGGTGCGGGGGGGGGGGTACTCATAGTCGTGCATGCCGTAGTCGTTAGACCATTGACCTCGCATCCCGACCAAGCCAGGACGGAGCACGCCGGGTTCTCGCCGGACCAGGCTCTCACATCACCAAGCGCGAAGCGCCGTGAGGTATTCGCCCAGTCGCATGAAGGGTGCGCTGCATCCTGCTACAAAGGTGTTCAGCATCTTGTGCATACTTCCTTGCGCACAGGTGACAGCTGCGTATAACTTGATTTATTTTCTGGTGCTTTCACGTCCAGAGACAGTTGTAAGCACTGTGTAACTGCCTCGAGGGTGCTTGATCAGTTTAACACAACGTGGTTCGATCACCCCCTTTGCGCGGAGTGAGGATTCTCTAGCCCGCACAACATATTCTACTACTCGACCACCAATATGGATACCGCAAAGAAGAAAACTAGAGGCAAAAAAATAAGCGGCAACACGAAGTGATCGGCTTTTTTCACGACGTCGTTGACAGCGACGAAAACCCAACCCCGATGGCAAACACAGAGGGGGGGCTTGTTTTACAACGTCGTTGCCAAGCGACGAAAACCCAACCCCCGCTGGCAAACACCGAGGGGGGGGGAGGCACGGGGGAGCGCGTTTTTGGTTTCGCAAACGGGTGACTTCCCGACGCCAAACGAGATGCTGTCAGTCACGGAGTCCAAATGGCATCCGTTCATCCCTGCGCATCTTCCGCAAGTCGGAACACATGCGTCGTCGGTGGACCAGCCGGCACCAACCGGTCATTCCTTTGACAAAGCAAAGCGGACTATCGCCAACCTGTCGGGCACAAGCTGGTTTGTGTTCTCTCAACCTTCAAGACGCGTGAACGAAAGCGACGTTAACTCTTCAGAGACACCATAGCGACATATTTATAATTTCCTCTTCTTGCGGCTACATCGCGACAACACACGCTCATGCCAGACTACTACTGTATTGGAGTATGCATAACTCTTTCTCGCAGTCGCTTCGTGCGTTCAAGGTGCAATATATTGATGTGCTGCTCGTAATAGTGGTACAACCGTATGCATAACACGTCAACTATGTAGCAATCTCAGCGCTTTGGTCCCGCTGTGGCGGTAACACATGCTTCCCCAGAAACCAGCAAGACAAGTCTCTACAAGTGTATCCGGCGGGCAGGCTACCGTTGCTGCCAAAGCAGGCGCTGAGAGCACGGCGAAAAGAGTCCACATTGGACATGACGCCGCTGCCACTAAAGTAGTTGGCATTCCCGTAAGAAAACCACGTGACTAACCTCGAAAACCACGCCAGCGATGGTTGTTCCTGTTTTCATAGCCCGTGTAGAAGCAAACCTCCGGAGAGCCTCTGCTCCACCCTCCACACTCCTATCGGAGGAGCCAAGCAACCCAGCCGTAGCACCTGTGGCGGAACCGGTCGGGGTTGCGCCGCTATGGAAACGATGGAGCGATCCTCCGCAAGGCGATAAGAAGGGCGCGCCGAGCAGCAGAGTTATCAGGAGGCACCACGACATTGGCGACTCCTCGCTGCTCTCCTCGTACTTCCGTATAATCTCTCGGGTGCCGTCCTGTGTGAGTGTGTATAGCAATAGCTCGGCGACGCCCACACAATCCCATGCGCGTACCCCCTGGCATGTTTGGGTTTTTTTTTTTTTTTTTTCTTAATATGACACAACGAAACCAGAGTTTGGGTTTTGGGTTTTGGGTTGGTCTGCCCAAGTTGGTCTGCCCGCATCTAGGTGGGCCGCTTTGTCGCTTTGTAAAATGGTTGCACCGCATCTTAACATTGCAGCGGAAATCACTTGCCAACTTGCCAGCGGACACCACCCACCTTGCACCGTGGACTGCGTACAAGCAATCGATACTGGCTAGGCAGTCTGATCGAAGTGGTGTGTGCGCCATGCGGACTGCGGCTGGCCTTCGCCTGGCGATAGGGTGCCTTGCCGTCGGCCCATGGGCCAGGATGGTTGCGGAGGCCGAGCTTGTGCTGCTCGTCACGCTCACCAGGCACGGAAGCCGCGTAAGTCGTGTCGCTTGCTCTCGCTGGTCTTGATCCGATCTTGTTCACCTGTACATGACAGCACACACGATGCCGGAGTGCCAAAAGCTGCGTACCAGGCAGCAATCATGGCTTCGGAAACTTTTTCAGCTAATCGCTGCTCTCAGTAGACGAAGCTCTCCAGGTTCAGTCCACTCTATACACGAAATGTTGCTCTGCAACCCCATGTAAAATTGTCCCACACACGCGGATACACAAACATCAGTGCCGGCTACATATGTATTACGGATAAGAGAATCGATATGAAAGAGAAAGTACGGATATGAGTCAAAGTCGGTTGTCACCACCATAGTTGGAATAAGAGAGAATGTGCACGTGTGTCGTAAAGTCTACATACCATGGTATTTCTTATTTCTGAGGTGCAGCAGTACAGCACTGGACCCTCTATAGTGCAGGGGTGTGTCCAGAGATAATACCTGTACTGTACCGGGCACCTGCACCATTCAGCCTGGACTATGAAATGGCCCAGTACTGTAGTCTATATACCACGGATACATACATATACATTCTTCAACCATGCCCTTTGAGAACATCGATCCAGATATATATACAATTGTACTGGTATGTGAGGACGCAGGCTTCCCTCGTTGTGGGGAGGCCCAGGTGGCAGTAGTCTTTACCCACTACTTGTACTAAATAGACTAAGGGCTGGCAGTTCTCTTCGTTGAGATTTAGATTAGAGAGGAGAGGGTTTCCGAAGAGAGAGACACAAGAGAGTGCCGCCGAAGGGGCGAGGGGGACCAAGCCCGAGGGGATCTCGGATTCCCAAGCTCCACAGGTAGCGCCAAGAGGGACGCATCCATCCGTAGTCGGGTGTCTTGCTTATCAACCATCAGTAAGATATTTCTTCCGCTCGGATCGTATCTTAGTCATACTTTGGTATCTGCAACAATGGTTTCAGCACTTCTACAACTGTCATCCGCATATGTATGCATACATGTACATTGTAGCACTTTTACCGCAGTTCGGCGGCATTCCGACTTCGTGAACCCAAGCTCACTTGGTTGGGTGAGCAAGCACCGGTCGAGATAATCAGAGGAAACGTGAGAAACGATAACAAGACCTTTTTCTGCAATGGGCGCAGAATAGTGCTTATCGTGTTGTCTACAAATACTCACAGGATTTCGTCGTCGCGTGGCATTGCACTTCATTTTAGAGTGCACCAATTTTGTTTTATCAGGTCAATAAACGTTGCGACAGCATGTATGTATGTGTTGCGGCGGAGTAAAATGCCAAGCGTTTGGCCACATGTCTGACGAGGTTTGGTGCTTTGACAACCCCGTGTACTGAAGCTTTTCGTGCTCTACCCTGGGTACACGTATCGGTGGTGCACGTACGTGTGGTTTTGGTGTTGTGGCGAACTCGTGCTGGCTGCTGCGCGTGGCAGATATGACGAAAACCTCACCGCAGAGAAAACATGTCACCTCGCAGAAACTGCAATGGATAGAATCGCCACAACTTTGAACTTTTGATCAAATGCCATGCAGCTCATGTACCAGGCAACCCTCCCGTCACCCATGATTACATGTACAAAAGGTCTGTCCGATGTGAATCACGCGTGCGCCACGACAACGCCGACATTTGTTCCATGCGTGATGACGGTACATATTATTCGGCTTCTAGAGATGTTTCCCTGTCTTGCAACGGGAGTCTGGCCGCCCGCCCCATTTGGGGGCTGGGGCGCAATCGTTCCCCCTAGTGGTACATAGATCTACACATGAATGAGGTGGGATGAGGAGCGCACCAAAAGGCGTTTGTCTGCTGTTCGTGCTTGCTTTTTTCCAGCTGCATTTTTCTTGTTGTCTTGTGGGGCATGTTTGTGTTCAGGTACGGAAGGGTGTATGCACCAGTCCCTGATGTATGTCCGTTGCTCGTTCGCTGGGGAGCACTGTTGGTACACATGCGGCGCGTGGTAGACTACAATATCGAGCGATGCTTTGAGAATTCAATGGCGTTGCCGCAGCAGGACGTTCACGTCGTACTGAACGCGCCCATGGAGCTGTGACATCATTTTTGCGAAGAACACTGCTCTACACACGACCATCGAGAGTTTTGGCTACGATAGATATTCCCTCGCATCGTACTTCCGTAAACAATCTGTGGGCGCACGCTTGCATACATTGTCTCTCTTGATCGTAGCCGCATGGGCCTACGTACTATAGACTTCGTCGCGGGAAACATAGTGATGCTACCTGCTGTGAGATGTACTATCGACGCAACAGGACACGAAGGCGTTCGAAAGTAACGAACGCTCACCGAATGGCTGGTATATTTTCGGTGATTCATGGAAACGTTTCGAAATTTCCCCAGCCCGGGGGGGGCTTCTACGCAACTGTTTTTTTTCGTTGGTGAACACCCTTGGGCAAACAGCACTCACTCCGCGTGGGTATGTACAGCAGCATGAAGACAGACATGGTGGTGTGCTCTGCGTCTATGTACTCCGCAACTTTGTAAGTTGCAATTTTTCTTGTGCTCAATGGTTCATGCTATTGGTGTGCATACATACTGAGCAGCACACCAGCACCAGCATGGGAGCAATGTCTTTTCAACCAAATGCAGAAAAAATAAAAAAATGCGTGGTTGGTGTGTGTGTGGTTTCCCGACGGATTATTTCGTGTATTCCTGCCGACCTACACAGCACGCGCCTCGCACGTCATAGGATAGATCGATAGAAAACCGCAGCAGCACCAACAAGAGCAAGAGCAGCTCATCCGGACACCGCCAGGCACCCATTTCACTTGCTCTCGGCGCCTTCAGTCGCCCCGACTGGCTCTATTTCGCAGGGAGGCATTCCAAAGGCATTCCGAAGCAAGACACCTTCGTAAAACAAAGACAAAACTTTTTTGGAAACACGAAGAATATGAAGTCGTGCGCAACGCATACACGTCCCCACAGACCACGAGCAACACTGTACACAGAAGAGCGAGCGATCAAATGCAGCGAGTAACAGCAGAAGGATCTGTGACGAAGCCACCGCCAGCTTTGAAGCACACACTCACATTCTCACACTCACGCACAAGCGAAACGTCAGAGTGAGAACAAAGAAAATACCCCGCACAAGTGTTTAGGGCGAGGGCATTTCGCTCGTGACTGCAAGGAGCAGCGGTCCGGCCAATGTGACGCGAGGGGACACGAAGAGAGTGCCTTTCCGTCTCCGGTAGACATGATGGAGCCTGTCCTCGCAATACGAATGCCGGGTCCAGCGAATGATGTTGATTCGATCGTGCTCACTGCGACTGTGGTGGATGATGGGGTGGACAAATAACACCATGGGTCCCATGTGACAGCAGGCGAGTGAGATGAAGTCGTTCTTGTCGGTGGTGAAGGGGCTGTGGCTTTGCAGGTAGCGGGGTTGTCTTAAGGTTGGGTTCTGGATACTGGCTCAATACGTCATGCAGCTAATGATTGTACCTCTCCGACTCAGTTCCGCTAGTGCAACAGTTCTAAGACTTCCATCGCGAGTATCGGAACACTTCCGATGAACGATACGGCCATCTTGCCGTCGTCTTTCGGTCTGGCCAAGACAAGGTCTAGTTGAGACTTGAAAATGTCGCGTACGTACCCCTCCGGAGCTACCATCTATTCTCGTTACACTCGTTAGTAAATCAAGGTCACGAGTACTGTGGGACTGCTGATGGAATAACGATTATTCTCAAATACGATAATTCATCACTCCGGAATGTGGTCAGCTCAACATCCCGCACAAATGCGGTGTTCCACTTGGAGGCGAGGTAGGACATGCTTTCGCCGTGATTGCCCCCGGGCTCATGCCCACCACCAAGGTATAGGCATCAACGACTATCACTGCTCCGCCGCCCACGGCCGCGAGGTTTTGCTGCAGGAGTCGGCCGAGCACCAAGGGTGACGCTCAAGAAGACCATCCTCGACCTTGCGCCGGGTGCTCAGCGGCCCGTGAATACATTTTTAGCGGGGTGCTGAACGGATTGCAGCATGCAGCAGTGTCGGGTTGTTTCCGGAATCAAATCACCTCCCCCCAACCCTGGCACCCCCGCATCCCCTCTCCCGTTTTTCCAGGCTCCGAACACCGTGGTCGATGAATTGTGCCCCGCGAACAAGGCCAATCGAGCCAAATACAACGTCCCGCCAGGACAGGTGCGGCATGTAAGGCGACGACATCAAGATCATTCACGTTGCCTCTCGCAGCGGTAGACTCGATTGGGTGGACCAAGTTGTCATGAAATCAATTTTTATGGTAAACCAACCGAGGTTCTCTGTCGTTGTTTTGGTATGGTATGAGGGAGAAGAGTCACGGAACTACGGAACCCCTGAACGAGGAAACGGGAGAAGTGGCACCTCGAACACTCTGTCGAAGCTACTGTAGGTGTTCATTAAAAGGGTGTTCCTTGGACTAGAGAAAGCAACGCACGAAGAGACAAGGGGCGAGGCGTACACATAGAAGGCTTGGAGTTTTTGCCAGAAAAAGGAGCTGCAAACATGTTTGGTATTTTCCCCTTTTCTTTGGACGGTGGAGGGGAGGCGAGGACCGATTGCAGTTGCCGGCGGTACGGTGCACTACTAGGCGCGAAGAAAATGGCAGGGTACCATTGGGGGACTTCGTCAACTGGGACTACTGCATGCAGTAAGGTTAGGGCCTACACGGAAGTAAAGAGAGGCAGTTGTTGCCTTTCGGAGCGTTTCTAAGGGCGGAAAGACAGAGACGCGTTAGAAGAGGCGCAGAAAGATGTCTGCGACGAAAGGGTGCTCTGCCAAGTTGTCATCTCTCTCCTTTCTCGGGTGTAGAAAAATAGTCATTGTCAGTTTGAACACCGGCTTGAGTCGTGGACAAATCGAGCTGTGAACGTAGGGTGGGTGGGTCCGACCATTCTCACAAGTAACTGTGTCATACTGTACTGTACCGCAGCTGAACCGACGGGGAATGCGCGGCTTCATTCTGGTCGAGATGTGCCCAAGCGGCGCTCTCACGACCAAGGGGCGCTCTCACGACACTGGCATCTGTGCCCGTCTTCCCTCCCCCTGAACGGCGACCCTTGTTGCCGATGGCGTCGCGTAAAATTGCCGCAGCTGACAGAGAATGGCATGAACCAGGCTCTGAAACTTGGTAACTTCCTCCGCGAGACGTACATCGAGAGCATGGACTTCTTGCCACCAACCCTAGGCAGCGGCTGCACGCCGACCTTCAGCTCATGGCTCAAGTCTGACTCAGGTGCGTCGTGGGTTTCGTTACGGTTCCAACATGGTGTGGTGGGTTTGAATGAGAGGTTGTCGTGGTGTCTTGTTGTTTCGTGTGTTCTTGGTGATTTCAGTACGCCCTGTTCTGTTTTGGCGAGACCTACGCACATACTTTTCGCTTTGTTTCGGGCGGCGTGGCAAGGCAGTGACACCCGTGTACCACCTTGTATTTTTTCTGCGTCGAAAACGGGCGTCGAATATAGTTTGCACGTAAAAAACCAAGGGTGCACGCGAGGCTTTTGGTTCGTTGGTAAACGCGGACTATGCCTGTAAACTGCTGCCAGCGAGCTTGCTAGCATAGCAGGGAGGAGGAGGAGGAGGAGGAGGAGGAGGAGGAGGAGGAGAGTATCCTAACCAGCGCATGATCTGTGATGGTGCATGCTTGGTGCTTGTTTTCCGGCAACGCCGATTTCTGACGATACTGTTTGTTCCCCTCGTATGCAAGCAGCGGCACGTTGTCTGCAAACAGCCCAGGCGATGGCTATGGGACTGTTTCCCTACGGTACAGGGCCACCGGGGTTTCCCAACCAGCCGATGGCGGTGCTGACGGAGCCGGTGGGGGTTCCCAGAAGAGTATCGTAGCGGCATTGCCACAGAGAGAGAGGTTTTGTCGCGGTGTCTGCCTTTCGCAGCAATGCAGCCGTGCGATGTTATCTTAATAGACTAATATATTTATTTGCCATGAACGGCCCGGATCGGGAATGCCACAGCGGTGCTATCTGAAACGCAGGTCATTCTCTAATAGTGCGCGTAAAAAAGTTGTTCCAGCACACCACGAGTTGTTTGCAGAGTGGTCGTGATTTGAAACGTATGTGTGCTTGCTTCTAGTCATGCAGACAGACACACCTCCTCTTGTTTTACCGGCTTCCTCTTATTCGTGTTGGGCTCGTAGCCTGTGTTCGCACTAGAAGCTCCCTCGTACCGAACTGAGCTGCATTTGGTTCATCAATCTGCATGAGTTTGTCTTGGTCAACGCTGCCGTGTGATTTACATGTAGCTCGCGAACGCTTCACGGGGTCTTACCTCTCGAACACGACAGAATCGATTCGCGAGCCTGCTAGCGGCGCCACACGGACCCTGCTTGGCACAGCAGAAGGCTGACAACGCAGCGTACGACTCAACCAGAGGAGAGGAGCTCATCCAGCAGTCGCGGAATATCACCGACGTCGTCTCACAGGTGAATGGTTTGATTTCAGTCACCACAACGGCCTAACACCCCTCCCTTACGACAAAGCCTTCATGAATGTGGGGATAATTCGTATTAGTTCCCTTGTTGGTTGCATCGGCCAACCAGGAATACGTCGACATGGACATAATTCCATTCATCGGAGGCAGCCCAGTTCACGATCAACTCCCTAGACAACACCCTGAACAGCAGTACGATTCGAAAAGGGTGGGTTTTCGAGAAAATGTCCTGCATTGTAGTCATCTGAACTGTGGCGCACCAGACGGTCTCGAGGCTCCTTCCTGAAACTGGGGTGTTGCAAGTATGACATACAGCTGTGCGCCTCTGATGCTTACCAGAATAGCCAAGGTTTCAGCAATTCTGACGTGACTCCACCGAGGTTGCCTGGCGAAACGCTGCAACACAATGTCTGCTGTTGCACACTCCCATCTCATCTCGACGCTCGAACACAACGCAACATTAGGCTTGTGGAGTTCCTACGGAGGCCTACACGAACGTGGACAACGGGAAGGAGGGGCTGGTGCTCGGGGTGAAGGACGTCAGCGACATGCTAGACTTTGACGAGCAGCAGGTTTGACGTCGAGGCTGAATTGGCACTGCTACGGCTGTTGCTGTTAACGGTTAGAGACATCGAGGGCATGGATTAATAGTTGGCCTCGACAAGCAGCAGGAAGGTGTGGTTCTAATGCGTTTCGAGCAAGTCCTTCATTGCTCAACTTTCGTCTCAAGTTCCAGTGCTGTTGCTATTGCTGCAACTCTCTGTGCTTCTCCTCTCGCTCTGTGTTTATCGCGTCTTTGTTTTTGTGGTGTACACCAAAGGGTCTGCCGAGGCTGGCGTCTGTGAGCAAACAAGCACACGAGGACATGACCCAGCTCGCCTTCACCCTCCTGCAGGAAAGATACTACTCCAACCGACGACAGGCAAGCCCTAGACCTCTTGGTATCGAGTGCCCGAAAAGAGGCCGGTCGTCTTTGCGTTGGTCGGTATGTGTTGCATACACAGGGACAGGGTTAGACGGTCGGGGTATCTACAGCGTCGTATCGTTTCTCGGGGAATGGTATCCCTGCTGTGGCGTGGCGTGTCGACCTCGTAGGAAGAATGCCGCCGCATTGAAGAGTCTGCGGGGGAGCTAGTTTTTGCACGGTGTGCGGGATGGCGACGGGTGACGGTTCGGCGTGAACGTCCCGGGGTGGAATACCCAGTCTCTATGATTACATGCGGCCTCGGGCCTAAGCCACATGTCCATATTTTGGATCGTAGCTACAACAGGTTTTGTCGTAACGACGTCTTCGCCAAGAAAATTCGGCTGTTTAAACGCTTGCAGATCACCTACTGGGCGGGGGACTTTCCTCCCACGCTGCTGGATCACTTCAACTCGGCGGCGACGAAACACGACAACGGCCAACGGCCCGATCATCTCTATCTAGGATACCACGGACACCGGTGTGTATTTGGCGGAGGGGTGGCTTGTATTTGTCTGTCTTATCGGCGTCGACCGAGCCAACTGGCTAACAAAGGACATGGCGTATGGATGATAACGACTGCTCACCGTCTGCGTGCAACCGAATAGTCTCTTTCAAGCGGGACACAAAAATACAAACACGCATTTCTAGTGGTCGGGCTTCCGCGACCGGTCTAGGTCCGTGGAGTAGACTGAACGACATGGTCCCGTCTCTGCACCAAGCATGCTGCTTGAAATTGGATCGTCCGCGCTGACGACGAACACGCATTGATCGTCGCGGGACACTATTCAATCTCTCTCTGTAGGCAGGCAAGTGTACGTGTGAGTCATGGGTGTGACTGCGTCCAAGCTGAAACAAGTACCATGAATCTTGCCCTTGGTTCACTAGACAGACAGGCGAGTTAACACCGCTCAAAGGGTTTCGACATTTTATTCAGGCCAGACGAACCCCGTCGCCACTTTGAAGAGCATTCCATCATGGCGCGCGCGTTCATCACGAAATTCGCGTCGGCCCACACGTGAATTTCGACGTTTCCCGATGTTGGTTGATATCAGACTTTTTCGTTTCTCTTTCACTCTTCTCATTACCGTGGCTACAGCAGTGGATGTCGTTCAATGGTGCCGGTATGCACCCGCCAGAACCGGCATTCTTGAGAATGAGAAGTGTTTTGTTGCATCCGTGACACGTGATTTCACCGCCACAATACCGGGCACTGGCGCCATTCAACCGGAAATATTTGGAGGTATGTCCCCGCGCGGTCGCTGAGATCTCGATTTACTTTACATGTTCCTGCGTTCGCTCGTGTATAGAGAGCTGCTGTACGGCGTGGCGCACTTCTTGGGCTGGCACTTTGACGTAAAGGGGGCGCCGACGGCTCTGGGCACGTCATCGATACCCCCAGCAACTACGATGGTGTTCGAGCTCCACTACCGTGCACACGAGGTGAAAGGGAGGCAAGGGCGACGAGAGCATGTTCTTGCGGTATCGCGAGATGACACGCTGTAGATGGTTTGACGGAGTAGGTGTAAAGAGACTAGATATTTCTTGTGATCCAGCGATGTTCATGGACGCTATGCTACGCGCGAGAGAGTGTTGAGTGTTGAGATGCCTCTAACTCTGTTGAACGGGACTGCTGTTAGTTGTTCTTTTCTACACCGGGCGGAATAAAATACTGAATGTCAAGACAAAATAATCAACCGAGAGGCTTGATCGAAGGGTAACCAGGCGATCGCAACGAGAAGTTTAGGTCAACAAGATGGATGCCGTGCACACCTGGACTACTGAAAGTCGTTTGCATCTGAACCTTGAAATCTCGTCTTTGCCATTCGAGTATCGCAGCAAGCGGACAACGGCACCACGGGAGCAGAGCAAGTACAAGACGAGGCCTCTGCACAAGAGGAAGCAGGGTACTACTACGTCAGAACGTTTACCTGGACACCGGAGTTTGGACAGCGGGAGGTTGTACTGGATGCGTGCAGCGGCGTCGAGGCTGGTGAGGGTTTTGGTTCTGATCCGAGGCGTTGCTGCCTCCGAAAATTAGAAGAATTCCGCAAGGTTTCCACATGCTTCATTTCTTTCCTTGGTATTACTGAATTCTTGCCGCATGCCTGGCGATCGACGGGGCCTTGTTGGTGTCCGACGAGATGACACGGATTATGTGTGCGTCGTCATGACGGTTTCGGCTGAGCTTGCGTCCTGCCGTCGCAATCGTGGAAGCACTCCAGTATTATCGTATTGCCAGTTTTCTTCACATGTTTTTCGAGTTGTTGCCCCTCAGCACGACAAAATGGAACGTCAATACTTCTACTTGGTGAGGACCATCACTTGCAAAACAGAGTGCGTTCTTGGTTTTGTTGCGTTGCCGTTGCGCTTTGGAAGCGGGGCGCGTCTGGCTACGCGAAAGTACTGGTCTAACAAGCGCTTGGGATGAGTAACTGTTTTGAGCGTGACGATTGTTCCGATCGTTCCGGTCGCGAGGTGCCTTAACGGTTGAGACAATAGGACGTTCCTGATCCTTTGGAAATAGGTAGTCATGAGGGTCGATAGTCGGCAGAAAACTCCCTGGACATATGCGAAGTTTCGCACTTTTGTCGCCCAAACACCAAATCATGTTTTTTTCTTCTCAGGGACAGGGTGTCGTTTGACGACCATTGAAGCAATCGTGTCGGACAGCGTGCAAGACACGGGCTCGTGGCAAGAAATCTGCAACGATGTGCCCTTCGATCAAGCGGTGAGCCGCCTCGTCTCCCGTTGGAGGCGACGCGGACTAGTCCTGCCCCCGGTAGTTGACGATTCGCTACACGGCATGACATAGCTTTTCATGACTTTTCAGTACTTGTGACGGTCGTCACGCCTGTGATGAGATTTCCCCCTCCCCCCCCTCCCCCGCGATTTTCGGTGCAGATTGTTTTTGCTGCTGTTGTTGGCTTCGTATTAGAACCGTCCCGGTCTCTGCTAGTTGAAAGTATGACGCGATTCCTTTGCTGGAATCAGGGCTCCCAATAATGCCAAACCAAACTCTGATGAACCAACCACCAACGTTGTCCGTTCCTAGCGTGATTTTACCTGGCGGCGGTGGTACACCGCTTGGCGACTATTATTCCATGGTGTGCATGATGCACGATGAATGCTGTCCACCACGACTTGCGCTATGCCCATGACTTGACGATGTCACAGCAGTATCCCTTAGCCGCGAAGCGGCAGGGGTTTTGCGTTTTCCTCACGCGCGGTGCACTGATGATACTCTGTGTCGCCCGATAGACCTTACGATTCCGCTGTAGGTTCACTGTGCCAGTGAACCTACTCGACTCTGGGAATTTCACAAACGTGTATGTATGTATCTTTTTTGTGGATAAGTGCTTCTTGTGTTGCCGTCTCTGTTAGTTCCGACGCCCCGCGTCCCACGTCCACCCAAAACGAATGCCACCGTACATAGAGTGTTCCAAGGCCTCAAGCTGTCCCGCCCTGGGAGACGTTTTTTTTCTTATCGTGTGGGCAAAGGCTCCGCGTCTTACTAGCCAGTGGCAAGCCATGAGGATGCCACCGAAAGCTATCAGTAAATCATGCTGGTTTCTCCACCCCTGCCTAGGAAGCTTTTTGCCTGCCCCCGTGTGTGTGTGCTTGTCTGCTGCAGGAACAAATGGCGCAACACATTACCTTCAGCGATGATTTTGCCGATGACACGGCAGCAACAGACGCCACAGAGGACAGCGGCGGCGATATTGTGAGACGAACGGTTGCCTTGCTCTTGCGTAATCGCGTCAATCTCTCTCTCTGCGTTTCCTTTACGTTATTTCTGGGTTTTTGCCGACAACGACGACAGTGAACTCCCAGCCCATGAGATGGTTATGGTTTGCATGCCCACCCAACCAATTGCTCCCTCGTGTGTGTGTGTCTCCGTTGTATCGTTGTTGGTTCGACGGCTGGCTGCTGGCGACGATCTTGGGTCGATACCGGGGAACAACCAACCAACACGTCGTCGGCGTATTTCGGGCTGGGTCGATGATGGAACAGGTCAGGACCATGGTGAGCACGACCTTCTTGGTGGTTGCTCTTGCGCTGGTGTTAGGTGTTTTCTGGTTCGGCGTCGTTGCTTTGAAGGTCAAGTGGCGTAGGGCCGGAGAGAGAGGGGCAGGTGCTTACGAGGCTGTAGGATGAAAACGCGAGGCTGCTCAAGGGAAAGACGCTCGATAGCCGCTCCAGGCTCCCAGCACAGATGGGAGCGAAAGGCACACACCCTGCTCACGTCATCAGTGCTGCCTGGCTTAGCCAAAGTTGTTCGAAAAAATAGCGGGGCGGGGGACGTGCGGAAGAGTGCCGAAGATCTGGCCATGAGAAACCTACGGGTAGGACGGTCGCGACTGCCAACAACTTTGGCATCTTCATCGGCGGTTTATGGTGAATGAATGTAGCATGTCGTGGCCTGTACACCTAGCACAGATGCCTGAAAAACAGTGCTAACCATTGCTGTTGAAGGTAGTGCGACGTGTTCGGCTGATTCTGAAGCTGAATTTTTGTCGTTGTATGTTTTTGCTGTCTCTCTGTCTGGGAAGGATGTGAAAGGGAAAAAACATGTACTGTAGGTCCAGGCGACCTTCTCACGACCCCTGGGGTCATACTGTTTCTTCCCAATGGATCATTTATACTCCCTAGGCATCGCAGCTTGCCTAGGGCAACCGCGCTGGTCCTCTAAGAGGTTTTCGTTTGTCTTTTTGGTGGTCTCTTGTTTCCACCGGGCGTTTCAAACGCGGAATTCAGTTGAACTCAGTTACCACACTCTTTACTATGACTCGATGCGTTGTCGATTTGTTGTTGTTGTTGTTGTTGTTGTTGTTGTTGTTGTTGTTGTTGTTGTTGTTGTTGTTGTTGTTGTTGTTGTTGTTGTTGTTGTTGTTGTTGTTGTTGTTGTTGTTGTTGTTGTTGTTGTTGTTGTTGTTGTTGTTGTTGTTGTTGTTGTTGTTGTTGTTGTTGTTGTTGTTGTTGTTGTTGTTGTTGTTGTTGTTGTTGTTGTTGTTGTTGTTGTTGTTGTTGTTT